TCATCAATCCGGCGGCGCCAATGAAAACCGGCACGAGAGTCTGTGCACTGCGCCAAGGAAAGTCATTGCCACCCCAGGAGAGACCGACCAGGAACGTCACCATAGAGCCGATGAAGAGAAAACCGCCCAGCCAGTCGACAAGTTGAAGCTTTTCGGCAAACGTGCGTGTAGGAGGCTTCAGGGTTAAAAGAACGGGCACGGCGATGAGGGAGTATGCACAGATGGGGAAGTTGATGTAGAAGATCCACCGCCACGTGGTGTGCTCGGCGATGGCGCCCCCGATGACGGGACCAACAAGCGAACCAACTGCCCACGCTAGCTGTCTGTCTCGTTTCTTAGTACGTCTCTTCTGAGGGTCGTCTACTGAAAGGATGATACTCACATAATGCCATAATACTTGGGCCTGTGGAGAAGGGGCACAATGTCGGTGAAGACCACCAAGCTGAGCACATACATCCCGCCAGCGCCGATGCCCTGGACCACACGGCCGCCAAGCAAGGGTCCAATACTTTCAGCAACGCAGCACAAAATTGTACCAGTGGTAAAAATCACCAAGCTGCCGATCAAAATGACAGGCCGCCCGAAGATGTCACTGAGCGATGCCAGCAACGGCATGACAGTAGCGCATGAGATCAAGTACGCAGTGCCTACCCAGAAAGCCTGTGTAGATGTTCCGCCAATGTCTTGTATAACGGACTGGTTCAGAGTATTGGTCAGTCTTTTGATTTTTATTTCTCCCGATACCAGCTTCCCGAGGAGTGAGACTTTACCGAGAGGGAGGTGACGATGACGGTGGCGTCTAAAGCGATGACAAAAGACATGATCGATAGGGTTACGATGACGACCATTTGGTGCCTAGACGGTTTCCAAGGCTGCCGCGTATAGACGTTCTCGTCTGGCTCTCTGATTTCAACATCATTCCCACTGTTAATTTGATTGGGCATTTTGATGATTGTGGCTGACCGCAGTCGTCCAAAAAGTTTGCCAAAGTGTAGTTCAAACGACCGATGAAGAGAGACCTGCGGCAAACAAAAGCCTTCTATGGTATTTCTTACACGGGGACGACCGACTGCTTTGTATTTAAACAGCAATCATAACGAAGCTCAATTAGCGGTGCACTGGCGATGTGCAGACAAGGGTAACGTCATATAACCGGTATAACCCTAGGTCATTTACTAGCCGCCAGCGCGGCGTGAATGCCACATGCCAGATTACGGACTGTGCTGTTTGTTGCGAAATATAGTTAGCCTAACACGGAGCCATCATCGTACTCCAATAAGAGGTAAGAAGGCAAATAACATGATGAGAGTCCGAGGGATCCTGGTATGAAGTGGGTCTGGGGTTGTTTCGACGGTCGTTGTTACTGTTGTCAAGGCGTTATTCCCCCGTCTGCGCTTGAATTGATGTGATTGGTCTATGTAGGAAGAGCCGCCTCAGCGATATGCCAGTCATTTCGTTAAGC